TAGGCGGGCTGGTCCCGCATGTCAGTGACACAGGGGGAGGTCAAACCCCGGTCAAATGGCCCAAACAGGCCGGCGGCTCAACGCCGGCGGCAACAGGCACGGCGGAGGGCTTCGGAATCGCTCCTCCGGCGACCATTCGGGCGGCGGAGAGGCTCTACGGGTGGCTGGGAGGGCGCCGCGTCTTCCTGTGGAGTCGGTTGGGGTCGGGGCGGCCGGAATCGGCGCCGGCGTCGACCTAGGTGGCCGCCGGAGTTCGGCCAAGGTCGAACGCGGCGCTGCGGTGCACTAGAGGGGAAACGGAAAGGCTCTGTGGGCTCCTGGGAGGGCGGCGAACTCGGTAACGTGCTCGGGCGCTAGCTGGGGTGACCCTGGCCACGGCAGCGCCATGGCCGGCGGCGAGGAGCAATCGGCTCCGGTGAGAAGGCGGCTGGAGTGCGGGAACGAGCGCGGGGAGAAGGGGAAATGGAAGAGGAGCTCACAGCGAGGTCGATGAGCAGCTCGGTGGTCTCGGGGAGGCGGCGGAGGCGGCGAATTGACCGCGGCGAACTTCGGTGGCCGGCGACGGAAACGGCGATGGTGGCGGCGTTGCAGCACGTCCGGGAGGTCCGTAGCTCAACGAGGAGGTGGAGGGGGTTGTGGCGGAGCTCGGAAGCGGGTCGGGGAGGCGAGGGGAGGCCAGTGGCTACGGTGATGCCCGTCGGCGGCGGCGGTGGTTCTCGGGTGAGAGGGAGAGAGAGCAGGGGGAGAAGAGGAGGGCGAGGGAGAGTGAGAGCGGTGCGGGGCAGCTGCGTGGCTTCGTCCGGGGCATCGAGGGAGTCCGGGGAAGCAGGAGGTGGCCAGCAGGGGGGGAGGTGGCGCGCGCGCGTGCCGGCGAGCGTCGGGCACACGCCCTCGTCCTTCTGTCCGAGGAGGAAGACGACAGGGAAGGCGCGGGTGGGCTGGGCCGGCCAGGGGGGGGAGCTGGGCCGGCTGGTGGGCTGCACGGGTGAGGCCAGGTAGGCTTCACTCCTTTTTTTTCTGTTTTGTTTTAACTCTGTTTTCTATTTTGCAGGTTTGTTTTGAATTTGGTTTTGAAACCAATTCAATTTATTTTGCTTCTGACAATAATTTTAGGAGCTAAAAGAATTAAAACAATGCTCCACAAAATATTTCAGAATTATTGGTCCTATATTTATTTAACAGTAGATATAAGTCCAATTCAAATGGCTATGATTTAAATTCAAAGTCCCAAGAATAAATCTTTAAAAATGTTCAATATTTTGGTTGGGACCAGAACCCTTACCAAAAATTATCAAACATTTAAGAAGAGCCTTTTGGAGCAATGAATAAGATTTCTAGGGTTTTTGCCCCTCTTTTATTTAGGGTTTTGAGGCTTCCAATATTCCTCAATTTAAGTTTCAAAAATATAGACATGATGCACACATGAAGCTAGACTAGAGCAATGCCAGAAGCTAGGGATGTGACATCATGTCTCCGGTCCGACCGAATTTCAAACTTAGCTCTTTGTTCTTAACACCTTCCTTGAAGGCACAGACTGCCTGGTGATCAGATACATTCTCTACCGTGTGATGCAATGTGATCCACCTCTGGATGTAATCCCTCAGAGTCTCATTCGACTTTTGCACACAAGATTGCAGCTCTATCAACCCTGCTGGTCGCTTGCAAGTTCCTTCAAATGTTCTGAGAAACACTCGGGCAAGATCTTCCCAAGTGTAAATGCTGCTAGGTGCCAATTGATTCAGCCATGCTCTGGCCGAGCCCTCCAACATAAGAGGTAGGTTTTTCATGGCCACCTCATCATTGTTGCCGCCAATCTGAACAGCCACTCGGTAGTCCTCAAGCTAAGTATCAGGCTTGGACTCACCAGTGAACTTACTGACTCCAGTCGCCAACCTGAAGTTGGGAGGAATCACCGCGGCCCTGATGGCTCTGCTAAAACACTCTGGTCCCGAGATGTGAACTCTGCTGCTGGTGGGCGCATCTCTGTCATGGCCTTCTCGGTGAGCTCTGTTCCTGTCGACCAAACCTTGAACGATAATGGATCTCGCATCAAAGCCTGGTTCTCTGGGGTCGACTGGAACCCTTCGCCCAACACTGTGCTGGCGTCTGTCATCTTGTTGTCGAGGCGCGTACGATCCACCCCTTGGGCGAGGAGTGGGCACTCGACGTCGATCATCACGATCGAATCGGTGATCATAGTGCTCACGGTTCTTGTACTAATCATCACGCCGGCCTCCACGTTCTTCACGCCTCGGGGGCGATCTTGGGCTATGGGCCGACTGGACTGTATTCGCAGCAACGGATCTGCTGCCAATCCTATTCCGAGACTGTGATACAGCTGAATTTTGATCTCGTGTTGCCCGGAGTAAATCTCTGATCTGTAGCAAGCCTCTGCCAGCCTCTGACTGGGAAGGCTGAATCGACTCTGCTATACGGGCTGCAGCTGCTAGATTCTGAATCGAAGTTCGATATACCTGAGTCGGTGGTGGAAAGAGTTGACGTCGACCGGAGTCTGGAACCCGTTGCCGCGCGCGCTCGTCGAGTGCTCGTTGGAGGTTCTCTATCGAGTGCGCTCAGCCAAGTTGGCCAAGCGCGCGTCTTCTAAGGCACGAGTCTCGGGGGCTTCTCCAACGATAGGAGTGTGTAACGCATCCATGTTTCGGCGGTGAAGTTCTTCCCTCTGCAGCGAAGTGAGGGGCTCGGGTTGATACTCTTCGTGAACCTGCGCCGGATCGCCTCCGCCGTCGCCTCCGTCGGTGCGGGGAAAGCCAGGAGGACTGCGTGGTCCATTGACCATCAGAACCTCCGCCGTTGGATCACTGATGTCGCACTCGAATGCAGTCTCTGTGGAGCCAGTCGACAGATCGAACAGGCCGTAGAGAGATTCATCGGGCTCGATTGCCGCGACTTCGGGGGTGGCCGACTGGCGGGCCACCGCGTGCCTCACCCACCGCTGAAGCCTCGACCGACCGGACCGCTTGCGCCGGCGGGAGACTGGGAGGGAGGACGATACAGGAGCCGACCGATACTGGGTCGATGGTTGCCGCAGGAGGACGCCACAGACGTACGCGCGAAAGTGCGTCGCCCCGCGGACGGGGAGCGCGTCGATGTCGAGTGGAGCCTCCTGAAGCCAAGCGAAGTCGTCGGTGATGAGCGTGAGCGCACCAAGATGGATCTCGCGGCCCTCAACCAAAACTCCGCCTGAAACCATGATGAAGGAAATCGGAAAAATCGCAACTTCTCCAATAAGTCGCTAAGACACCTGCCCCACGGTGGGCACCAACTGTCGTGGTTCTAAGTCTGATAGTAGAATAGGGGGGTAGGAATGGAGAGGCAAGATCCTAGCTATGGAGTAGTTGTGTACGCAAAATGTTTACAAGTTCACGCCCTTCTCGGAGGAAGTAACAGCCCTACATCTCGGAGCCCGGAGACGGTCGACTGGATTATATGAGTATGAGTTACAGGGGTGCGAACCCTTTACACTAAGGAGGGGGTGGCTTATATAGGGTCCGCCAGACCCCTCCGGCCCTCAGTTATGCAGGGTTTAAGGTACATTAAGATCTGGCGTTACTGGTAACGCTATACATAAAGTGCTATGATGACCATAAAGGCTACTTAATGACCGACCGTTTGCGTGCAGAGTGACTTTAGATCTCCTGCTGGTCGAGTGAGTGGCTTCATGGCCGGGTGTCTTCGAGTCCATCGAGTGGAACCCTTCCAGGTCGACTGAAAGGTGATTTTTTCTAAAGATGTCCTTGGGGAGGGTATCCTGGACAGGTCCATGACCCTACCCTAGGTACATGGCTTCATCAATAGGTCAGCTTGAAATGAGAGACCAACCGCGGAGTCGAGGCAAAGTGTTTGGGAGATGAATCAAAAGGCGTGTTGCAGGCGATCACCAATGTCCAACGTGAGTTGGGCGGCGTGTATGGGAGTGGGCATTTGCCGTGGCAATGGTGAGGGAGGCGAGGGTAGAAGGCGAGGGGCAAAGGTGGGAGAGTCTCTCGCAGCATCCGCGGGCGGGCAAACGAAGAAGGAGATGTGGATGTGGGGCGATGCGATTTCCTTCTCCCGGAGGATAGCCAGGGCGACCGGGATTGAGGATACGGTGAAGCGGAATTCCGAGGGCGAGAGTTGAAGGACCATGAACATGTCGGACTGATGACCGCCCAGGCAACCTTGGAGGTAGCATGCAAGCATGAGGCAATCAATCTCCATGACGGCACGCTCAATTTTGACAGCAAGGTGGATGCCTGAGTTTTTGTGGCGAAATAGAGTGATGGGCTGCAAGATGGCAGACCAAACCTGATCCTCAAAATCCGCACCCGTGGCGTTTCCAACGCCAAGCGCGGCGCGAACGGCAGCCTGGATCGTAGAGTCATCCAGCCAGATGTCCGGCGGGAGCGGGGGCGAGGTGAAGGTGGCTACGGGGAGGCTAGATGGAGTTGGGATCAGAGGTGACCGGAGTTGGGGCAGCGGTGGTGGAGGTGGAGGAGCGGCAGGAGGTGGGAACGGGGGCAGTGCGGGAGCGAGAGCCATCCTGGACTGAGGATTGTGAGGCCTCCAAGCCGACTTTCGAGGGGCTGCGATTTGGTGTTAGGCAAAGCATACATCCCCTGGAATCTTAGAATGAAATCCATCGTCGATTCGCGGGCAGCCAAACGAGTAGATATTGGATTTCGCAAATGAAATCCATCGATTGCAACCCAAATGATGGGTACCAAACAGGCTGCAAGGGTTTCCCTATTGGTGGTAGTTAACTACTCCTTCCGTCCATGCATCCATTTTGATGACAAGTATTTCCGGACGGAGGGAGTATGTAGTTATGTAGAAAACGACGACGTGCTGCCTTGAATTTGAAATACTACGTTTTTCTTAAATCATATTTCCCTCTTTATATACGATTCAATCAGCGTCACATCACTTGAAAAGAGAGGGATGAGCTCGCCGGAGCCTCAACAAAAAAAAAACTATTAATAAGAACGGGGGCCGGTAGTTCCATGACTTGGCCCATATATGGTGCGGCTGCATTCGTTGACCCGGAAGCAAACATCATGAAGCAGTCAAGGAAGGAAAGCGGTCAGGAAGTCCCGGAGGAGTGCCTTGCGAAGGTCATCGGCCTGACCTCGCCTGCCGACGCCTGCCGCGCCACCGCGGTATCCGCGGCCTTCCAGTCGGCGGCAGACTCTGACGCCGTGTGGGAGAGGTTCCTGCCGCTGGACTGCGACGCCGTCCTGGAGCGGGCCGTCCACCTCGTGGATTCCTCCTCCAAGAAGGAGCTCTTCATGGACCTCAGCGACGACCATGTCCTCCTCGACGGCGGCAAGAGGGTGAGTGCCAAATTTCCGGTCATTCATGACGACAAAAAAAAAAAGATTATCGATTTGTCTAATTTGTTTCTTCGATAAAGTGGATCAGTACTGATTGATCGGATATACTATGCCGCATGGCTTCTAATTAACATTCTGCTGGTTAATACGTCTTAATTAGAGTTTTGGGCTCCACCGATCGAGCGGCGCCAAGTGCTACATGCTATCTGTGAGTGAGATGGGAATCGCTTGGGTTACAGCAGATCTGTACTGGATAAAGAGGTCGGACCCAGATTCAAGGTAATTAATTAACTCCCATATATACTACTGTACCTCTCAATCTCATACTATCTCAGAAATTGCTTGATTTATCCTTGCTTGACAATTAAGCTTAGGTTCTCCAAGGTGGCAGAGCTCATGTCAGTGTGCTGGTTCAGCATCTCCGACCGCATCAGCAGCAAGGAGCTCTCACCGGGCACCCAATACGCGGCCTACCTTGTGTACAAGCTCACTCAGGACGCATCCGGTCTCAGCTCCCCACGGCAGATATCGTTCATTGAGGTAGGTGGGCAGCTAGTTGGGAGCATCCACCCGGCGTCTCTCCATCCCTGCGACCGTTGTTCCTGCGCCACACGTGATGGCGAGTCGTCATCGTCGTCGACGACGTCCACAACGAACGTTGCCGCCGTACAGGTGCACGAGCACATGAAGGATGAAGGAGGCCTCATTGTCAGGTACCCGCGGCAACGGGTCGACGGCTGGTTGGAGTTCGAGATAGGTGACTTCCACACAGGTGGCGATTTTCTTCCTTTTAAAACAATATGAAGTTTTTCCTTACTCTCACAGCCTCGGTATTTGATCGAGATGACCCATCACAGGTGATGAAGCCGCGGCTGCAGTAGACGTTTTGATGGTGCTGCAAGAGCTTGAGGAGCTGCAGTGGAAGAAGGGGCTCATCATCGAAGGCATTGAGATAAGGCCGAGAAACTAAATAAATAAAATGATGATTATAGGTCCCTAACATATAATACCAGATATGTCAGGGATTGGGGTGGCTTGCTAGGAAATTCATGTCACGCTTTGGATGTCGAGCAGGATCTAATTAATGTTTGCTTTTCAGAAGTGTCCTGCTCATGAGTTTCCTTTATGGTGCAATATATATAGTTGTGTGCATCTATACAGCCAATATACTAAATAAACAATTTGCTGCCTACATCAGCTATCGATGGGTGGCAACAGATCTGATGTGTACCGAATGAAATGAAACGTTGTCCATATATTTCGCCCGATGATCCAGTGCAAAACAGCCCATCATATCGATCCAGTAATTAGGTGATCAGCCTTATCATGTTGGTATATACTCCCTCTGTTCCTGGAACGGAGGGAGTATTTTTTTTTTATGGTCACCCTAGGGAGCGATTCCGCACCGGAAAGTGCAGAGTTTTCCGTTGATGAAAGCTGCAGCCAAGGTGGGTGAGGGGGTGGGAAGATAACACAACAACTACACACACAGTTCTCGACATGGTCTCGAGCATGGGCGGGATGGTGAACGAGCCATGCACACGCCCCATCTCTGCACATCTCAAGCATTTAGGGCATTTCTGGGCGTTGATCGCGGAACACCCCATCCTTCCTTAGTACTTCTATGTTGCAACAACAGAGGAGGAGGAAAGTCAAAGCAGAAGCTCGCGGCACCACTACGGGCGCCTCGTAGGTGTCGAGGAGGCGAACATCCGCAACTATCGGCCGGCGGCCACCTACCCTGGTTCAGAGTCAACGGGCGAACGGTGCATCAGGATCCGCATAGATGGGGCACATGGCTTCAGCAGCAGAAAGGATCCCTTTCCTGAGCCGCGACGAGCCCAAGAGATGGCCTTGTTCTTTGCGAGGAGCCACATCTCCGCATGTCCCACAGGGGACATATGTATAGATAAAGGACGCGACTAACCACCAGCCGACTGGTGGTTAGCGACAAATCCGCACGATCGTACACCTGCGTCCCTTCCCACGCGTAACCCGCTTCGGCAGCTCCACCCACGACCCAGCCTTCTCTCGCGAGGCCCACTGCGCGCAACGCATTGAGGCCCAAGACAGTTAACACAACCCCTTTGGCCCACGTCCCCCCTCCTGCACGTGACTTACCAATCCAAAACCTAGTTTCTTACCTCCATCGCAAGAAACAGCCACCTGCCCCGATCATTTCTCTCCTCTCTCCCCGACGCGCCTCCATCGCCGGCGACCTCGGCCCCAGATCTGATCCACCAAAAAAAAAGGAAACCACGAAAAACACCACCAAAACACAAGGATTTGAGGGAGGGCCCCGGTTTACCACAAGAACATCACATGGGTTACATCAGTTCATCTCAATTTCGTCATAATCAAGCAAAAAAGAAAGGAGGTAAGTGATTCAACATCTCGATTGAATATAGATTACCAGAGTGTGTGCATTGAGTAATCAGCACCCTTTAAAGACTTATTCAACATAAAAAAAAGATCCTTTTCTTCCTTTTTAATTATATTGAACAAACCCATGTCAGAACAAGTTATCATGCTAATTCATTACAAATTACCAGGAAAACTCTAAACCAAAGGTGCTAAAAACACTACAAGAATACCATGTGTTGATTTACATTGTTGCCACCAGACTTTTTTGATAAAAAAAATGATGTTCATGAAATGAGGTTGATAGAAACTATCGCTGTCATACTCCCATATGCTGGTTACTGCCAAAACGATACCTGTTATAAAAAAGAAGTAATCAGTGCAGTAAAAGGAAAAAAATATAGTTGTTGTGAAAAAATAATCAAAATTGCTTGTAATTGTGGAAAATTAATGGGTGCATTCATATGTGCTAGCAGGTGCTGCAACACAAGAAAATGACGCATGACAACGGGGGTAATGTGGATATCATGATAAGTGGTGTGGGGACAAACCAACAGTGTGAATATGCACACACGGCAAGCTTTGGTTCTGCCAAAACAGATGAAGGTAAAACATTTACTATGCTACCACATTTTTGTACACAAATTTGTTACCATCGTACTTGAATTGCAACTACCACCCTATGTTATTTACAACTATCACATTCACCATGAAACAGTTGACAAATCACGTAGCTTGATGCACACAGGTTACCATGAATTTAGGTACAATTACCACACTTACTGCATACAAATTATCATGCAATCTGTATTGCAATTGGAATTACATGCTTTCACTTTACAGCTACAAAAACCATCTTAATGCATGCAAACTTTACCAAGCAACTGGAGTACAAGTTACCACTAGTTTTGGCATGCAGATAATATAACACAAAAATAACAACTTTCAAAAACATTACAGGTGCTACATTTAGAAGCAACCCAATGGTTCGAGAGACAAGCAAAGAACCGACTACTAACAGCATAGGGGGGAGAGAAAGCTTCTTTGATCATTCAGTCAGCGAGCCAGCGAGTCCAGAAACAGGGGGAGAGAATGCTGAACAGGGAGACAAAAATACCGAGGCATACTCCACACTGAAACCTCCTGATGAAACGATGAAGTTTGATACTTTTGAGGAAGCTTATGAACACTACAGGCAATATGCAATGAGACATGGGTTTGGAATGAGACCGGAATACAGAAAAACAATCAAAGACAATACTGTAAGCAGAGTCCTCTTGGTTTGTGGGAAATACGGCAAGACAAAAACAAACAAGGAGGAGACAGAGGATGTGTAGGACCCAAAAGGCATCGTGAAGAAGAGGAAAAGAGGGAAGGTCGTGAGGTCGGGATGTCCGGCCCACCTTTACATCACCCACACGAATGCGTGGTGGAGAGTTAAACGCTTCAACGACGACCACAACCACCTTCTAATAAGAAAGCCGTCCTTGACAAAGTTCCTATCAACACATAGGAACATTCCAAAAGATGAGCAAGACTTCTTGAAGATATTGCACGGATGCAACATAGAGACAGCAAGACAGATGCAACTAATGAAATGGTTCTACGGGAATCCTAAAGATGTACCATACACAACAAAGGACATCGCAAACCAGCGAGCTAAATATCGGATGGAGTACCGCCATGCTGATGTGGGGAGCACAATCTCATACTTCCAAGATATGAAGGCACAAGATCTAGATTTCTATTGGAGAATAAAGCTTGATGATGAGGACAGAGTGGAAAATTTATTCTGGATAGATGGTGCGTCGCGCAGGGCATATGCTAGATACAATGATGTCATCTCATTTGACACAACATACATGACAAACATGTACAAAATGCCCTGTGCACCCTTCATTTGGCAAGTATTTGTCGGACGTAAATGTTTTGTATGAAATGGGTATTGGGCTTTATAGTGGAGGATGGGCCCTGCAGGTAAAAAGGCTGGAACCCTAGTCGCCGCCAAGGGGAGGCCGATCTTCCAACACCGCTCTCCGGCGGCTCCCCTTCGCCGGATCCACGCATGTGGATCGTTTTTACTCTCTCGTAGTCTAGGTTTTTAGGTTGTTCATCGTCTTTGCTTCGGCGGCGACGATGACAACGCTGAATAAAGATTCTTCGGATCCTTCCCTAATGAGGCCATCGGTCCTATGGTTGGGGATGGATTTGGAAACCAGTCTGTTCAAGCAAGGATGGCGTGGCGGCGGCGGCGGCATCCTCATGGTGGACCTGTGTCCTCGGGCTCCGCCGTTGCGACGGCGTTTGCTCCAGCGTCGGCGCGGAGCTTGGGAGGTAGTTCAGGAGCGGATGCAGATTGTGGTCTGCATCGACAACATCTGGAAGACAGAGCATGTGCTGGGCTCATGGTTGGTGGATGGCAGATATGGTTTCGTCCTTCGGCGTTTTAGTCATGGTGGGCTGCCAGATCTGGAGTTCGATGGTGTGTCCGGGGTGTTGCCCCGGTCTGATTCGTTCAACGGTAAGGGTTTAACTTTTGGTGAGCCACCTTGGAGGTTCGTAAAGCTGCATATCAGCGATGGAGCCGCATTGAGCTCGGGTGAGGAGGTGATTCGTCATTCTTTTCTTTGGTGGCTGCTGCGGTGGTGCCGGAGGCAGGTGACGGACGTTGGTGTCAAGCTCATAGATGTTCTGCTATCTTTTCAGTTTTGTCATGTCGGTCTTTACGTGACTTGTACTTTGTTCTTTATGATATGAATGAGACACATATTACCATGCAAAAAAAAAAGGTAAAAAGGCTTAACGGAAGGAGGTGTCACGTCGGATACCATCGGAACGGCTCACACCCCACACGGTACGTAACGCCCGGAGGCATCTGGCAAAAAAGAAATGTGCGACGTGGTGTCTCACACACCGCGATGGCCGACGCAAACCAGCCTAAAATCTGGGTGCTTAGCCAATTGTCCCCTTCCCGGACTGTGGAAGGAACGTCGTCACGTACGTCGCACTAGTTCGCGGATAGAACGCCGGCCACCGTTTCTAAGTGCAGCATGATCTCAACCCCAACTATTGTCGCGGCCCGAAATATTTGAGCAATTAAAATTCTGATTCTGAGCAATTACCTTTACTGATTCTTGTTGAGTATAATGTTTATTAGGAAAGATGAGATAGATTAGGATTTGTTCCGGCTTGTCTTGTACTCCAAGTAGATGATTGTACTTTTATATATATGCCCACGAGGCTCAAGCAATACAACGACAATTCCATCAATCCCTCTCTCCCTTCTAACATGGTATCTATCGCAAGTCGATCCTAAACCCTAGCCGCCGCCGCTTCCGCACCACCTGCGCGCCGCCCCCGGGGCGGTCGGCCTTCATGACCGCCGCCGGGGGCCGCGCCGCCCGTACCTAGGGTTCGTCCGCCGGCCGTGTTGGCCTGCTGCCCTAGAAAGTCTTTTTCCCGATCCTTTGATCCGGATTTCTCTCTCCCGCCGGTCGCTTTGATCGGCGTCTACTTTTTGGTTTCCGGGTCTATGTGATCCGGTTTGCGTTGCCCACCGCCGCATCGACCCCGAGCGCCTCTACTCCGACCCCGGCACGACCCGCCGGC